GGCTGCAGCTTTGCCGCCCGGGCGCAGCCTGAGGAGAGGGGCTGACAGGAGGGAAGCGCTGAGCGCTCCCTCCTGTCACTCCCTCTGTAGTAGCGTGGCCGAGCCCAGTATAGTCGGCGGGTACAGAGAGCATCTGTCTCCTGTACCCGGCCGGACTAACAGGAAGTGCACACATTGTAGGGAGGGAGGGGAAGAACAAATTGGGAGGGGACAAGGGAAGGGGGAAGGGGGAGAAGAGGAATTGTCAGGGGGGAGGGAGGGAGAGGTGGGAGGGAAAGAAGGGTGTCAGGGGAGGGAGAAATTTGGAGGGAGGGGGGAGAGGTGGGGGGGAGGGGGAAAGAAGAAATTTGGAGGGAGGGAGGGGGAGAAAGAAATTGTCAGGGTGAGGGGAGAAAGAAATAGCAGGAGAGGGGGAAAGAAATGGGGAGGGTGGGAGAAAAAGGGGAAATAGGGGAGGGTGGGAGAAAAATTTGAGTAGGGGAGGGAGAAGGGGGGGAGAAAGAAATTGGGGAGGGGAGAAGAAATTAGAGGGAGGGAGAGGGAGGGAGGGGAAATTGTCAGGGGAGGGAGAGGGGGGGAGGGAGAGAGTGACAAGGGGAGAGGGGGAGAAGAGAGTGACAAGGGAGGGAGAGATTGACATCCATCACACACACATGCAATGCACCCCTTGCACACAGAAAAACACACAATGCATTACACACACAGACACACACACACAAACAATGCAACCCTTACACACAATGCATCCCTTACACACACACAAACACACAATGCATTTACACACATTCCTTACACACACTCAATGCACCCCTTACACACGCACACACTGCATCCTGTACATACACAGAAACACACCTTGCAGCCCTTACACATACAAACTCAGATTCACACAATGCATTCCTTACACACATATCAGGACATCCCCTACACACTCCACCCCCTGTGAACAAACTCATTGGTGGAACATGAAGGTGGACCCTGGAACCCAGACCTTGAGCTGTGTAAAGGACCCCCAAAAAATGGAGCTGCTTCCCGTTCTCCCAGAACATTGATTTTTGTGACCACAGTTACAAACAGCCTCCAGAGAGCCTGTTCTACACCAGACCAGTGGAGCCAGACTGCAGCTAGAGCCCATCATCATCCTCATCTCGTTGTAAGTAGGCAATCTAGTATATTATTCGTGGCACTAATCTCTAATTTACCTCACATTAAAGAAACACTATAGTCCCAGAACCACTGCAGCTTAATGTAGTTGTTCTGGTGTCTATAGCCTGTCCCTGCATGCCTTATAATGTAAACACGGCGGCACTGCAGCACTGGCGTTAGTTAACATGGCAGATCATATGGGTGGAGCATTGTGATGTCACATGGGGGGGTGGCCAAATACTGTCATTTCCATCTCAAAACCATTGCGCGCATCCGCCCCTACTTAACGCCAGATGCGACTAAGGTGTTGGTCCATTCCACTGTCCTTTCTCGCCTTGACTAGTGTAATCCGCTTCTCAGTGGTCTTAAGTGCTCCCAACTAGAGCCGTTACAGTCCATAATGAATGCGGCGGCGAGGCTCATCTTCCTGTCCGTCCCATGCCTCACCCTTCTGTCAATCCCTGCATTGGCTTCCTATAAAATATAGAGCTCAATTTAAAATTCTGGTTCTTGCTTTCAAATCTCTACATAATACTGCTCCCACCTATCTATCCTCCCTTATACGTAAGTATGTCCCGTCTAGGACCTTACGATCTGCTGAAGACTTACATCTATCTTCTGTCCGTACTCCCACCTCTGATGCTCGCCTTCAAGTTTTCTTGAGGGCTGCACCGTTCCTGTGGAACTCGTTTCCCTCCTCCATTAGATGCTCACCCAATCTCCACTCCTTCAAAAAATCTTTAAAAACCCACTTCTTCATAAAAGCGTATCAATTACACTGTTAATAGCTCCTGACTGATTCCTCTTCTGCAACTAATACTATCCTTACCTTTTTGTGTCATTTTACCCCACTCCGTCTAGCATGTAAGCTCATTGAGCAGTGCCCTCAACCCCTCTGTTCCTGTGTGTCCAACTTGTCTGGTTACAACTACATGTCTGTTCGTCCACCCATTGTAAAGCGCTGTGGAATTTGACGTCGCGCTATAAATATCATAATAATAATAATAATAATTTTGTTAGGCAGCAGAGCCAGAGTCAACATTATGCTGTAACCCCTGCTGCTTCGCAGGCCAGTAGAGAGAACTATAAATCACCCTGCCTGTCACTGCTTTTATAGCAGGTCTGCACCTCTGGCTGGGTGGAGATTGTTGCCTATGCTCCTTCCTAATCAGAAGGAAGCATTCAAAGGAGTCTGCACCCAGAATGGAATAAATAACCTAATTAATGCCAAAAATGCAATCAATACAATGCAAAAAAAAAAGCCACATACAGACTCACACTGTCATAATCACCCAAATACATATTAATTAAAAAAATCTCAGGCACTCACTGTTATTGCTTCCAGGCAGATTTATTGCAACGTTTCGACCTATACAGGTCTTTATCAAGCCAATACAGACACTCTCCAGACACACACACTGTCAGGCACATACACAGGTGCACAATACCATACACAAGCACAATGACAGACATAGTAAGTCAGAAATACACACAACTGGATACACGTGGTCAGACACGCATTGTGGCTCTACAGGGAGTGCAGAATTATTAGGCAAGTTGTATTTTTGAGGATTAATTTTATTATTGAACAACAACCATGTTCTCAATGAACCCAAAAAACTCATTAATATCAAAGCTGGATATTTTTGGAAGTAGTTTTTAGTTTGTTTTTAGTTATAGCTATGTTAGGGGATATCTGTGTGTGCAGGTGACTATTACTGTGCATAATTATTAGGCAACTTAACAAAAAACAAATATATACCCATTTCAATTATTTATTATTACCAGTGAAACCAATATAACATCTCAACATTCACAAATATACATTTCTGACATTCAAAAACAAAACAAAAACAAATCGGTGACCAATATAGCCACCTTTCTTTGCAAGGACACTCAAAAGCCTGCCATCCATGGATTCTGTCAGTGTTTTGATCTGTTCACCATCAACATTGCGTGCAGCAGCAACCACAGCCTCCCAGACACTGTTCAGAGAGGTGTACTGTTTTCCCTCCTTGTAAATCTCACATTTGATGATGGACCACAGGTTCTCAATGGGGTTCAGATCAGGTGAACAAGGCCATGTCATTAGATTTTCTTCTTTTATACCCCTTCTTGCCAGCCACGCTGTGGAGTACTTGGACGCGTGTGATGGAGCATTGTCCTGCATGAAAATCATGTTTTCTTGAAGGATGCAGACTTCTTCCTGTACCACTGCTTGAAGAAGGTGTCTTCCAGGAACTGGCAGTAGGACTGGGAGTTGAGCTTGACTCCATCCTCAACCCGAAAGGGCCCCACAAGCTCATCTTTGATGATACCAGCCCAAACCAGTACTCCACCTCCACCTTGCTGGCGTCTGAGTCGGACTGGAGCTCTCTGCCCTTTACCAATCCAGCCACGGGCCCATCATCTGGCCCATCAAGACTCACTCTCATTTCATCAGTCCATAAAACCTTAGAAAAATCAGTCTTGAGATATTTCTTGGCCCAGTCTTGACGTTTCAGCTTGTGTGTCTTATTCAGTGGTGGTCGTCTTTCAGCCTTTCTTACCTTGGCCATGTCTCTGAGTATTGCACACCTTGTGCTTTTGGGCACTCAAGTGATGTTGCAGCTCTGAAATATGGCCAAACTGGTGGCAAGTGGCATCGTGGCAGCTGCACGCTTGACTTTTCTCAGTTCATGGGCGGTTATTTTGCGCCTTGGTTTTTCCACACGCTTCTTGCGACCCTGTTGACTATTTTGAATGAAACGCTTGATTGTTCGATGATCACGCTTCAGAAGCTTTGCAATTTTAAGAGTGCTGCATCCCTCTGCAAGATATCTCACTATTTTGACTTTTCTGAGCCTGTCAAGTCCTTCTTTTGACCCATTTTGCCAAAGGAAAGGAAGTTGCCTAATAATTATGCACACCTGTTATAGGGTGTTGATGTCATTAGACCACACCCCTTCTCATTACAGAGATGCACATCACCTAATATGCTTAATTGGTAGTAGGCTTTCGAGCCTATACAGCTTGGAGTAAGACAACATGCATAAAGAGGATGGTGTGGTCAAAATACTAATTTGCCTAATAATTCTGCACTCCCTGTATGTCTATATCTGTAAATGTGTGTGTCTCTGTCAGTGCCATTGTAAGGATTTTTGGCTACACAGGCAAAAAATGACTTTTTCTGCCCCCTCTATACCCCCCACTGATTTGCATCTACACATGTGTCCCTTTATCCTGCTCTTGAATTTATTACTCCCTTATCCCTCAGTCCCTTTGTGTTTCTATTTTTCTCCCAGACCCTTTGTGTGTCTCTTCTATCCCAGTCCCTTGATATGTCTCTTTTTCCCATTCCCCAGCATCTCTATGTCTCTTCCACTCATCAGCCCCCTTGTGTCTCTTTCACCCCTTCCCCATCCCCACTGTGTGCCTCTTCCCCCAAGCCCTTTAGGTATCTCTTTATCCCCTTCCCCATCCCCTCTATTTCTATTTCTCCCCTCAGTCCCCTTTGAGCATCTCTTTTCATCAATATCTTTTTACCCTTCAGCACCTCCCTATGTCTCATTTCCTCCCCAGCTCTTCAATGTGTCTCATCCCAACAGCCCCTGCATGTGTTTCATTCCCCTGCAGCCCCTCAATATGTCTGATTCCCCCTCAGTCCCTCTGTGTGTTTCATTCCTCCCAGTCCTTCTATATGTCTCATTCCCGCCAGCTCCTCAATGTGTGTCATTCTCCCCCAGCCCCTCCATGTGTCTTATTCCAGCCCTTCTCTCTTGTTGTTTCTCATTCCCCCAGTCCCTCCATGTGTCTCCTCCTACCCCATGTGTACCCACCTCTATTTGGCTTCCCGCCCCGCCCCTGCTCACCTCGCTCCTTGAAGCAAGGCCAAGTCACAGACTGCAGTAGAGGAGTTTTTGCTTCCTACCTGGCCTGACAGGAAGCAGTTTGGAGCTCCTTGTGCACTCTTCCTACAGAAGTATAAAAGATACAAAAGCTCCTCTAATGCATTCCACGGCTCGGCCACGCTTCATGCAGTGACTGGCAGCAGCACTGTATCCTGGCCTCCCTTGCCTGTGCGTCACTGTGTTTCTATGTCTATGTGTGTGCAAGTGTGTGTGTTTGTGTGTATGAGAGTATGTACATGTGTTAGTTTATCAGTGTATATATGTGTGCGTCTATCAGAATGTATATGTGTATTAGTATGTGTGGAAACATGGATGCAAAATAAGGGTGATATGAAATGGGCAATATGATATGAATAATGTGGCAACATACAATATACATGGGGCTATGTATATGTATAAATGCAATATGAGTAAATAAAGGATTATACACTGCTCAAAAAAATAAAGGGAACACTTAAACAACACAATGCAACTCCAAGTCAATCACACTTCTGTGAAATCAACCTGTCCACTTAGGAAGCAACACTGAGTGACAATCATTTTCACATGCTGTTGTGCAAATGGGATAGACAACAGGTGGAAATTATAGGCAATTAGCAAGACACCCCCAATAAAGGAGTGGTTCTGCAGGTGGTGACCACAGACCACTTCTCAGTTCCTATGCTTCCTGGCTGATGTTTTGGTCACTTTTGAATGCTGGCGGTGCTTTCACTCTAGTGGTAGCATGAGACGGAGTCTACAACCCACACAAGTGGCTCAGGTAGTGCAGCTCATCCAGGATGGCACATCAATGAGAGCTGTGGCAAGAAGGTTTGCTGTGTCTGTCAGCGTAGTGTCTAGAGCATGGAGGCGCTACCAGGAGACAGGCCAGTACATCAGGAGACATGGAGGAGGCCGTAGGAGGGCAACAACCCTGCAGCAGGACCGCTACCTCTGCCTTTGTGCAAGAAGGAACAGGAGGAGCACTGCCAGAGCCCTGCAAAATGGCCACAAATGTGCATGTGTCTGCTCAAACGGTCAGAAACAGACTCCATGAGGGTGGTATGAGGGCCCGACGTCCAAAGGTGGGGGTTGTGCTAACAGCCCAACACCGTGCAGGACGTTTGGCATTTGCCAGAGAACACCAAGATTGTCAAATTCGCCACTGGCACCCTGTGCTCTTCACAGATGAAAGCAGGTTCCCACTGAGCACATGTGACAGACGTGACAGAGTCTGGAGACGCCATGGAGAACGTTCTGCTGCCTGCAACATCCTCCAGCATGACCGGTTTGGCAGTGGGTCAGTAATGGTGTGGGGTGGCATTTCTTTGGGGCCGCACAGCCCTCCATGTGCTCGCCAGAGGTAGCCTGACTGCCATTAGGTACAAAGATGAGATCCTCAGACCCCTTGTGAGACCATATTCTGGTGCAGTTGGCCCTGGGTTCCTCCTAATACAAGACAATGCTAGACCTCATGTGGCTGGAGTGTGTCAGCAGTTCCTCCAAGACGAAGGCATTGATGCTATGGACTGGCCCGCCTGTTCCCCAGACCTGAAACCAATTGAGCACATCTGGGACATCATGTCTCGCTCCATCCACTAATGTCACATTGCACCACAGACTGTCCAGGAGTTGGCAGATGCTTTAGTCCAGGTCTGTGAGGAGATCCCTCAGGAGACCATCCGCCACCTCATCAGGAGCATGCACAGGCGTTGTAGGGAGGTCATACAAGCACGTGGAAGCCACACACACTACTGAGCCTCATTTTGACTTGTTTTAAGGACATTACATCAAAGTTGGATCAGCCTGTAGTGTGTTTTTCCACTTTAATTTTGAGTATGACTCCAAATCCAGACCTCCGTGGGTTGAAAAATTAGATTTCAATTTTTTAATTTTTGTGTGATTTTGTTGTCAGCACATTCAACTATGTAAAGAATAAAGTATTTCAGAAGAATATTTCATTCATTCAGATCTAGGATGTGTTATTTTTGTGTTCCCTTTATTTTTTTTGGAGCAGTGTGTTGTTTTCTTTTTTTTTTTTCGTTTCATTGGAGTAAGACAACATGCATAAAGAGGATGATGTGGTCAAAATACTCATTTGCCTAATAATTCTGCACTCCCTGTATGTCTATATCTGTAAATGTGTGTGTCTCTGTCAGTGCCATTGTAAGGATCCTGTGCTATCTATGCGTACAGAATGAAAAATACATAAAAGCCTTATTTTCGATTACAGTAAAAAAAATTCTTGGATTTTGATCTTGCTAGTAAAGGGATTAAAACGATTGTTCACTTTGAAAAAGAATGTGAACGGTAATTCGGGATTATTCTAAACTTAGTAACCGAATAATCTAAATTTTATTAAAGACAGGAGGTGAATATTTGCTTTACTTTACTTTCATTACTGTCCCTCCCAGCAGCAAAGAAACAGTAAGTAAAAAATGTAACCAATCAGAGTGTATAATAGAGAATGCCCAGTCATCAGGCTCCTCCCAACTCCTTTTTCTTGACGTAGCCGACAATTGTAGAGTCAACCATGTAAACATAAGCGGTAGAAGAATGAATAGTTCAAAACAAAGTCAACCATGCAAACGATGTGAGGAAAACGCAGGTGATTCTTTGTGAAGGTAGTGAAGAGTCTTCACACTAGGAAAAAAGAGAGAGAGGTCGTGAAAGTATGGTCTCTTGGGTAAGAGAATCAACACTTGATTACTTTAAATGATATGTTTCCAACCAGATTGTACACCAAATACTCTGACAAATCTTATGTTATGAGTTAAAGTTTATAGTATCTGTAAATGCAGTCTGCAAATGTAAACTGAAACCTTAGATTACGAAAATAAATTGGTTAGTAAGTAAGGTGTTGCGAAATACCTACCTAGCAGGGTGGGCGCCTATTCTTACGGGTGGGAAAATATTTGCCTCCTGTCTTTAATAAAAATTTTATTATTCGGTCACTAAGGTTAGAATAATCCCAAATTTTATGGCAAGACAGGAGGCTTCATATTTGCTGTTTTAAAGCGATGATGGAAGATGGAACTAGACACATGAGAAGATTGTCTGAAATAAAAGGTTCTGAAGGTGGATTCTCTGGACCAATATGCGGAGGTTAGAATCTCTGCTAGAGAGCCCCTAGACGTAAAAGCAGAAGAGGCGGCCGCGCCTCTAACGGAATGGGCACCAAAACATGAGTCGATGCCTGCTAGCTAGGGCCAGTAGCCACTTAATCCAATGAGCAATCGTGGGACATGACACTGGTTTGTGAGGGCATATGTAAGACACTAGTAGGGGGCCTGTTTGTGTTCTAAGGGTAGTAGTGCGAAGGATGTAGTCTGTGACGCAACTAGCTACACAAAGCTTGGATTTATCATGGAAGTAAGGGTAGGTTACAGTAGAGGAATTGGTTTTAGTGCGTCGGGTAATGGAGAAGTGTACTCCCTCAAGGCATGGCATGGACGTCAAATGCTCTGATGTCCAAAACCCTTCTAAAGGATACCTAACAGAGCACCAGTGCCAGTTTGGCTGACAGTTGTCGGAGAGAGAGCTCTTCATTAAACAGCCAAGCCTCTAAGAAGGATAGCACAATAGCAACATCCCAAAATTTATTATATTTGGGAGCTGGGGGTCTAGCGAGGCGCATGCCCCGCAAGAGTCTACATACGGAGGGATGTTTTCCAACAGCGGAGTTGTCAACAGGGCTATGAGCTGCCGAGATGGCGGAACGAAAGACATTAATCGACCGATAAGACTTACCCTGCTCGAAGAGTGATGCCAGAAAGTTCATGATGTTAATTAGAGAGGCTGAAAAGGCCAGAGATGGTCCAGGGTCCCCTGAAATGGTCCATGCCACCAATTGGAGGTGACCTTGTAGTGATAGTGGATGAAAGTTGCCTGAAGGGTCCCTGAGGAGGTCGTTGGAGGTGGGTAGGAGTAGGGGATAGTCCACTGACATTTCCAGGGGATAGGGAAACCATGGTTGGGTTTGCCATAGTGGGGTCACCAGTGTTGTTGTGACGCCCTGTGTCCTGAGGTATTGTATTGTGCATGGGATCATGGAAAATGGGGGAAAGGCTCCGGAGGCTCGCCACGGTTGGAGGAAGGCATCCACTGGCAGGCACGTTTGGTCTGGAAGCCAGCTGAAGAATGCATTTGTCTGACGGTTCAGGCAGGATGCAAACAGGTCCAGGTTGAGTGGGCCTCTCAGAACCTGTAGATGGTGGAAAATTTGTGGGTCTAATTGCCACTCACTGGAATCCCTCCAGTGACGGGAAAACCAATCTGCGACGAGGTTGACGGAGCCTGGGAGATATTCTGCACGAAGGGAGATACTCCTGTCCTGGCAGAATTGGTACAATTCCTTTGTCAGATCTGATAGCATCTTTGATCGGGAGCCACCTAGGCTGTAATGAGTAAAGAGGCAAAACAGCTTTCTTAAAGTATAGAGGGTGTCACCCTCTTATGCAAGGAATTAGTGTAATCTGTAATAAAAACAGAGTTTGCTCGCACAGATGAAGGCGGTGATACCGATGTGGTTGGCAGCCGGCCAGAAGCCGATCAGGTCTCGGCTTCTGGCCGTAGGAAAGGCTTTTTTTGCAAAGTGCCTCTGAGTCAGGCAGTAGATACACACTGGGCAGACCATGGAGGTGTCCATAGAAACAGTCTACCAAAAGACACACAGTCCAGATTAATTTAAAGGGGAAACGTCTAGAGTAACCAAGTACTGTTAGAATACCATTAAGATTAGAAATTAGGAATAACAATAAGATATATTAAAACCATATAGATATATCAATACTCAGACTGTAGTTGGAATAGACTTACCTGGGAGGCTAAGCAGCAAAGAAAGAGGAGTTGGGAGGAGCCTGATGACTGGACATACTCTATTATACACTCTGGTTATTTTTTTTACTTACTGTTAACTGTTTCTTTTCTGCTGGGATTGACAGTAAAGAAAGTAAAGTAAAGCAAATATGAAGCCTCCTGTCTTGCCATAAAATTTGCAAACACGCATCCTTTTAAATGCATGTGATCCTTATTTAGTTTAAAATTAGTACTTTGTAAATAATCCAGATCCTATTCTGATTTTAAACCAAATACTGACTGCATCTGGCCAATTGTGAATGTTTGGTTACTCTGAATGAATTCCGACTGGAATTGGCTTTAGACAGTATGAGAGTTGCTTTTCCAGTGGCAAATTCTGCCATTTTCACAAAACCCAGTCTTTAGTAAATTAACCCCAATATTTGACTCACATGGCTCCCTATATATACAATTATGTCCCCATAGAAATCACTTTACCCAAACAGTCATTTCATTATCATATGAAGACATGATGTTATGGCTTTTGCTGTTGTTTTGTATATTTTATTATATTTTATCAAGTTCTTGTAGAAACACAAATGGAATTGCACCTCTGGCTAACTAGTAACTTTTAGTGATCACTTTTTATTCTTTAATCTGATCAGGCTCTTTCTTGAACTCCACAGGCTTCTACCCACCATTCAGTCTCATCAATCATTGCTCTAGTACGGCTGACTTGTTCCTTTAAAAGTGTGAGGGACTGCCACGCAGGGTTAGAACTCATGTGACCTCAATGCTGTTCATAAGGCACACTCTGATCAAACTTCCTCTTTTGCCATGACCCCTAACACGCAAAACCTCATTATTCTTATCAAAGTACCAGTATATCCCAAATACATCCAGCAATTTACTAACAGGCATCATATATCCAAAGAACTTATCAGTTTTTATTTCTTTAAACATTTTCCTTAAGGTGACTTGTAAAGGAAAAAATGCACATTATTCACAGATTTCATTAAATTACTCATTTAGGTTGATGATAAATAATTTGCTGACACTGGCTGACATTGGCTGAAACTTTCTTGCCTAGCCAGCCTGGTCGGTCTGTCTGTCTATCTATCAATTATTATTATTTTATTATTTATATAGCGCGAGCAAATTCCGTAGCGCTCTACAATGGGTATCTATCTATCTATCATCAGATTTTAGGCAATTGTAAGGAATTTCTATTAAAAAAACTGCTGTCTAGATCTGGCTATCGCTGAAATCCCGATGCAC